AGACTAGCAATTCCTTCATTGCATGTTGAACCTGTCTTTTGTTAAACACCGCTATGGTCTGGCTACTTCCCCACCATGCTGTTTTTATTAATTCTGTCTTAGGTCTGCTTCTTTTGTTGTCTCTTTCCTGTGCCTTCATTCTCAAAATGTATTGCAATTAGCTGCTGACATAGAGTTACTCATCTTCGAAAATCCACAGTATTCCCCAAGTCTGTTTTTTCCCCTCATCTGCAGTGTTCCTCTGATTTAACTGTTCCATTTTGTTTTGACTTTTGGTTATCCCAGGGTCCGATTGGTATGGATGGAAAGCTGGTAGGTGATTTGTTCAAAACCAGTGTAATTTAGATCTTTCACATATTCCCCTCTTTGCTTTTTAAAATTGCTTATGCTGAAATGTGTATTAGTCAAATACTGGCTTCCTTCAGCATAACTTAGTTCAACTTCAGTAGCATGGATTTTTAACAGGTTACTGAAAAGCTGCTTCAGTCTTTTTTGCCTATGCAAGGAAATGGAGTTCAGCTCTGCTCCTCCTGTTCACTTAACATTTTCTGTCTGAATTAGACTGGATGGCAGATGTTGGTGCTCTGTCCCAGGGTAGTTTGGTGGTGCCTTTCAAACACCAGGATATCGCTTCTGACTACATTTCTGTGACTCTTCCTTCTTTCACAAATTCTTAATCCTTGTGTTTTAATTTCTGTGCCTGGATTTTGTTGGCTGATTTAAATCTGAACAGCCTCATGTCCCATAATAAATGCATCTGTATGATGTTCCAGATACTTGTTAGGGATATGCTGCTTGAATCAAGTTAGAAATAACATTTAATTTTATACAACACATTTGTTAATGTGTTTGTACTTGTGTGTGTATTTGTATAGCTTTATGTTTAGATGTATGAGCCTGGAAGTTATGTTCCCAGCTCTTTAGAGATTAACACCATGGTGAAACTGTGAAAATCCAGGTTTGGCACCTTCTCCTGCTATTCCTTTTGCTCCCTCTCTTTTCTCCCTTCCCAGGGCACCCCTTTTCACTGATACCCTGGATACCTATTTTCTATCCATTTACTTACTACAAGCCCCATTTCCTCTGCAAGCTCAACTTGTTGACTTGCAGTGTCAGCTTTCATTTTCTTCTCTTTATTTCCTGTGCTCCTTGAGGTTTCTTCTGCTGTTAAGTAACTTGTCTCTAAAGTTTGCAACATACAGTCAATAAGCTTTTTCCTTAATCTCTTTTAGGGGATTGTTAATTTACCTGTTGACTTTAGTTACACCATGGATATTTTATTTTTGTTTTAATATCATTTATCTATCAGCAGCTGATACTAGGTTTAATTGCTAGGAAGGGATGAACTGACAACAGTAGAAGACCTTCCATCATGGCAATTAGAATAGGTTGCTAAATCCCTTTGTTTGCCTCAAAATAGTGTATTAAGGTAGTAAATAGGGATATAGAAGGGAAAATTGTTCTGGAGATTTTACTGAAACCATGACATACTATGCAGCTATACCCACTGTAGTAATTTAGGTTTAAAAATATAATAAAAAGCAGCATTCAGTTGGTATAATCAAGTACATGAGCAACAATCTGGGGTTCAAAGGAGCAGCCACCAAAATGCATCGAACCAGTCAGTGGTCCCTAAATGCATGCAAAGACAGCAGTTAGTTGGTAGCTAGAATCAATGAATCAATTTTAGAATATGTAACAGATTTGAATAAAGAGATGTTCATGAGATAAAAATCAGAGTAAAGCTGACTTTTCAGTCTTGAGCATTATTTTCTCCCTGTTGGTTATCTAAAATTTAGAGGAAGACTTACAGCTAAAACATTTTAATCCACAAGTAACATGAACTGGGGGCAATTTGTGCAGCAATGAACCAGACTGATTTCAGCAGTCCTGAGGCCATTTTAGGAACACAAGCAGATAAATTGAGATTGAGCTTGCTCCAATGAGTTATAGTATCAGACTGAATTCATGTTAGAGGTTTTTTTTAATGAACACCAAAGTAACTCAAGGAACTTTATTCCTGACCCTTTCACGACACACAAAAATGAGAGAAGACAAAATTAACAGCCCCTTTTTGTGTCTCACACTTTGAATTGCTGTTGTGTCACAATAACCCTTTGTAATTAAACGTGTCAGTGTTGTGATGCTTTTCTACCTATACCTTTGTAAGAAGAGCTGATGAGTTCCATAGTTCAGTGCTTGCTGCACCCTCTGGGTAGTGTCACTTACTGCATCACTTGTGAGAAGGGAAAATTCTGCAGTAACTGCAGTGGATAGGAGGGCAAGGACAAGATCACTCAGAAATATTGAAGGATTGGGAACCATTGTAAAAACTAGAAAATAATTACCTTCACTAGTGCAAATTTCCTTCCATGCTGAAGAAGCTAATGGCCAAGGGGTTAAAATCATCCTGCTTTGAGTACTTTTGTATTCACCATCTCCATTTGTAGCTAAATGCAGGATAATTGTAATATTGGCAGCATATATAAACTAAGATTAATGCTTAATTAATAATAATTAATAATTAACTATTGTATTCCATGATATCTCAAAGAGTTTTCTGTCTACATGAAAAACCATTGTCCTATAAAAATTCCTTTTCCAGCTTCTGTATTGGAGATACAAAAGAAGAGTAACTATGAATGCTCAGTACCAGAAAGGCAAAGTAATGATGCTGTTGAGATTGAGAGCAGGAAACACTTTCATGGGAGGATGATTGCAACCCTCACCTCATATTCAGTTCAGGATATGTTTGTGTTATGTGTATATGTCTCTTGCATCATACATATAGCATGTACCATGTGGACACTTAGCAGCCTCTATGTCTTAAATTAAGGAAAAAAGTAAATTTTCAAGTCTCATTGTTGAAACACATATGCATATATTCTGTTTATTTGCTTTCTACTGCTTTAAATCAACTCTTTGTTGAAACATTTTGGCAATGTCAGACATTCATTTAAGTTTTGGCTCTTTTAATATATATATATGTATGTATGTATGTATATGTATATATACACATATATGTTGAGACAGCCTTTAATGATTCGGTCAAAATCTATTGCAACTTTAGATATTGTGAGCAAATGTATTCTGAATTTTATGTATAAAGTTTGGAGGCGCAGACCTTAGTTTAGATAATTTAAACAATTTTATTATACTGGCTGCTCAGTACTGCATCAATAAGAAATTCCTGATGATTTTAAGATCAGGTATAACATAAAATATCTTAAAACCTGCTGTGAGGGGAAGATTGAGGTAAAATCTGAGTGCTGAGGAGTCTCAATCATATTCATTAACCCAGTGTGATGTATAACTTCACAGAGCTCACCAACTCAGAAAGTTTTACCTAATATTTGAACTGACAAACCTCAGCCAGTAAGTTATTTTATTATATCCTCTGTGGTCCAGTTTTGTTCTAAGGAACAAATAGAAGACTGCAGCATCCACAACAAATGCTTTAGGCTGAATTCATTGTAAAGATTAGGTAGCCACAATAATTCTGTATTTTACCAGTATTTCTGTGTAACGTTGTTCCATATATATAAAAAAAAGCATTTTAAAACATTTTTGTGAATTTAAATACCATTTCATTGGGATTTTTAGTTGGCACAAAAAGTTTTATTAGTTACTATAAGAAGCATTTCTTCATTTGCTTTTCTTGTTGATAATGGTTCCCAGTTCAAATGCTTTTGCCCCTCACCCCATCTAAAATCACCCAGAATCACAGGATGGTTGAAGTCAGAAGGGTCATCTGGTGTAACCTCTCTGCTCAAGTAGAGCTATCTTGAGCAGTTTGCCCAGCGTCATGTCTAGATGGTTTTTGGGTATCTTCAAGAATGGAAACTCCACAATCTCCCATGGTCCTGTGCTTGGTTAACAGTAAAAAAAGTGTTTCCTGATGTTCAGACAGAAAAGTTTCAGCTCTCTGTAGATGTACCTTCCGGCTGAAGTGGTTTTATAAGATTTAAAAGAAGTCTCAGTGCTCCGTTTCTGTCAACAAAAGGAAATGTAGTTTCAGTTTAAATGAAGTTTTATTTAATTGTTATAAAACACCAGAAGCTAAGCTAGCCCTAGGCATTTAAAGGAATTTCCTCTAAGGAGAAATACGTAATTATTTTTCTGTCTTACAGTGTGAGCTGATTGTCCGGGTCATGTTGTTTATAGCTACTGTACTGTTTGCTAAAATAATTCTGCTTCATACAAGTAATTTCTATTAAGGGCACTAAATTAATTCATGTTTTTCACTGGCTTTTATGGTCTAGTGAAATTAGGGATAGGAGTTCTTCTCTGTAAGGACTTGCAGCAAAAAGAAATACAGCTCCTCAGTGTGCAAAGGGTGCCTCTCCACTCCAGGGGTGATCTAAATGAGATGTTGATAAATAAGAGAGAGGAAATGTATCAGCTGTCTTCTTGGATTGACTGACAAAAGCTCATCTCAAACCTTTCACTGTTGCTGGTTTAAATAGTGGTTTACACTTGCTTAAAACTGTGGAGCCTGTAGCAATGGCAAAAAGACTACTGTTTGTCCAGCACTGTGTTCCTCCAGTTTTGAGACTTTTTTCATTCAATAACCAGTAATAGTAAATAATTAGCATCTCCTGGAATCACAGGGATGGGCCATAATAGAGAAATGAAAGAGAAAAAACCCATAATACCTGCTTCTGAATTAGCTCAGCACCTCTGGCTTCTTTCTCACTTGAGAACTGCCAGTTAGGTCTTCATATCATTTCCAAATTTTTATGAATATCTAAAATAAGAAGTTTCTCAAATGTAGTTTTGATATGTTATTGTAATTTATTTCTAGAATCAGTTGCAAGTAAGTTCATCGGTTTGAATTAAAACACCCCAATTCAATATCAAGAGGCCAAAAGCTGACTTCAGTGCAGTCACTGTATATTTTGTTAACTCCTTATTAGAGAGCACTGCAACTATTTTCTACTATTTAAGGAGTTCCCCCTTGTCATAACTTTCTGTAATCTTTTGTTTTTCTCTTTTTTCAGGGTCAGCCTGGTCCTCAAGTAAGTGCCATCTTATTTTCTTACATAAGTAACAGTTAAACACAGAGCCCACTAAGCTCAGGTTGTCTACAAAGTATTTTACCATATTTTTTGATCATACTGTAATAAGATAGAAACTGGTAACCATTGCATAATTCTGTAAGAAAAATATTTCCCAAGAGAGAAATATGCCCCCCGCATATGGTTAAGTTCCCTCAGCTGTCTGACCAGATGGTGGGGTTAACAACATAATACTGAATAGAGAAAATCTCCTTACTGTGGCTTGAAACTTTGCCACCAAACTTTAAAGCAAGATAAAATAACTTAGCAAATGTGTAGCAAATGTAATACTTCAACTGCTTATTAATCACATGCTAATAATGTTGCTATAATCCAGGCAGCCCTCAGTTATTTTAAATATTGCACTGCTAGCTATTTTGATTAATTAGATACACTGCTTTGAATTAGTTCTGCTTTATTTAAGAATAGTGGAACTTTGTCTTGTGAGCTGTAATTGAAGACATGGACATGTAGGGACCTAACTTCAGTTCTAACGGAGAAATAGACCGACAGCAAGGAAACATTATATATATAGCAAAAATTAAATGTGAATTATTTGAGTGCTATAGAAATATGGAAGAGCAAGGAAAAATAAATTACAAAGCCAGTACCAATGCCATACTTAATAAAACCATTTGAGAAAGTCATCCTTTTTGTATGCTCCACATGTTTTGTGGGAAGTAAGCTTTGGTCTGTGGAACTGTCTTAGCATAAGTTAGTTACCCGAACCAGGATTTCTCTGACGTCCTTTTATATTTCAGAATCATAATTGAAAGTTAAAGCTTTACCACCTTACTGACTGGCAATTTTTTAAAGTCAATATTTTCATTATAAGCAGCAAGCATTTATTTTAGATTTTTTTAGTTTCTAAATGTCATTTTCTGTTGAAAGACACATTGATTGACAAACCCTCAAACCACTTGGCCTGAATGCGCAGTATCCTGGCAGTGCCAGGCTCCGTTTAAGAGAATTGCATAAGAAGTCTGTATGATACTGGAGATGACCACTGCCCATGGCACTCACGTTTCACAATAGGCACTTGATGTGTGGACTACACAGAGAGGTATCTTCAGCCTCTCTGCTGCTGGGGGCTGTTGAAGAGAGAGACTGTAATTCTGTGTGGCACTGTAGCTCTGAACAAGCTCTGCTGAGGACCTGAGGCTGATTCTTGAGCCTGTGGGCTGCCCTCTAGATGATGTTAACTTGTGCTGCCACCCGTGTCCTTTCCTTCTGGGTTTGGACCCCCACCTCCCACATTTCAGTTGCTTAGGGAGTGTCTCTTGCCTAATGCTTGCAAACAGCTGCTCAGTCTTTGGAGCTCATATCTCTACATGAAATGCCCTGGGGTAGCTGTAGGCAAGGAACCACCATCGAGATGGCAGTGTTCAGTGCTGTTTCAAGGGCAGAAAGGCAGAGAAATCTCATTGTGGGTGTAAGAGAAGTGAGATGCAAACCAAATAAAAAGCCTTCTAAGAATGTTCCCCAAATTTTTTTAAGAGAGCATCCTTACATGTTAACTTCAGTAATTCCTCCCAGTGGAAATGCTCCCCTCTGGGTCATTGCACCGTCCTCAGCAACACGTACCATTGTTCTTAATAATGCCTTTTCCTCCTTTTCAGCTCACGATGCTCCTATTGTGTCAGGGGGATATGTGTGTACTCAGTCATTTCAACTGGCTGATTGAGTCCAGGAGTAATTCTTTTGAGAGCACTGGTGGGGAAGACATAAGGGCATGAAACAGTCAGAGTCGTGTTCAGCTTTACGTGTTTAGCATTAAGATGCCTAAACCTATTAGCTTGTGTTGGGTAGGTGTTGACCTGTGAGGTGTCTCAGCACTCCTTGCAGTCAGTGAAGGCTAAGTCAATGCTCAGTGCACCTAGAAACCCGTTCAGCTCATGATAAACTCCTTGGGCTCAGTTACACTGTCTGCATTCAGGCATTGTTGCTGTGTGAATTGATCCAGTGTCTCCGGCCTTAGCCGCTGGCTGTTTTATGTACGGGGGCTGGAATCTGTGTTGGACTGTGGTTGTAGCTGTCAGTCACAGGCAGCTGTCTTGGATACCTAGGGAATCTCTCACATGACACTAGCTGCACACATTCGTACCTCCTAGTTCCAGATTCTGACTGTAGGCAGCTACTGAATCTGATAACCGTGCTGCTGAACTGCTTTCTAGCCAGTGTTGACATCTGCGTGTCTCAGGAAGCTACATGGAGGCTGTACATTTACATGTGCTGAAACTCAGATCCAGATAACTTGGTGGACAGCATTTTTTTAAATATTAAAAGTGGCATTTTTTAAATATTGGAAGCTGTGGTTGAAAAATCTCAAGACTTTTAAAAATTAAAGCTATCCACAGAAAACAGAATCTGTTCACATACAGATAAAATAATTCAGAATCCCTTGGCATGTCATTAAATAATGCAGAAATTCCAGTATTATTATTGTCAGAAATTTCCCTGGTCTTAACTGCATCCATGAGAAATTGAAAATTTAAATTATTGATCAGTTTGGTTAATAAGTAAAGGCTACCTGACTTCAAAGAACAAAGTTGTTATGCTGATTGGAGAAGCACTTAGAAAGTTCCTGATGTCCTAGCCATGCAAGTCCATGCTAAGATCAAGGATAAATTCTAATAATTTCTAGACTCACTGTTTTACTAACCCCTATTCTTTTTTGCTATGGTTTTATAAAGTACACACTAAATTCACCTAATGCACACCTAATTACTGGGCACTACCTCCTGCCATTTTAATTGTTTTACTGCTTATTTTCTTCAAAAATAGATGACAAAAGATAATTTTGCTTCACATTTTCCCATTTAAAGTTTCATTATAACTTACAGGCACCTTTTTTTTTTTTTTCTTCCAGAAAAAGCTTATGGTTCTATTTTATCTCTGAAAAGTAAAGACCACAATAAAAATGCCAAATAATTTCTAGCCTAATCTTTTAAAAAATGAAGTTCCTTCATATGATTTTGGTTTACTGTTAAAAAGAAAGCTACTTAAAATACCATGTAAGCTGAGTTCTTCTGTAGAAAAGAAAGTAGTAAAATATTTAATATTTTAGCTGAAATTAAATTCTGACTTGGGCGAACCAAAAAAATACCTGCTTTTCCTTATCAGCAATATAAAAATGTATTTAGACTAGCTTGAACCAGAAAGGGTTCTTCTCCCAGTAAATCTATACAACCAAAATCTGCCCATGCTTTCTCTTTTCCAAATAATGGAAGTATTCCTGATTTTCAGAGAAAAAGTTTAGCTTCTAGTCTGATGTTAATTCTGTAAGAAATGTACTATCTGGCTAAAGAGAGAAGGCTGGCTATTTTAAACTTGTTTTGTTGTTTAGAGGTAAGGTTCATGTAAATACTAGAAACCATGCTTTTAATATTATGGTGAAGGAAAACAAAATAATCCTTTTAAAAAATCTTGCTGAAGTAAAACTGTTAAAGACTGTAATTTGGTGTGAGTTCATCTCAGCCAGCAAGCTGTTCCTTCTCTGGGGCAAGGTCCTCTCCCTGGCCTATCTCTAGCAGAACATACTTTGTCTCTCATGTCAGCATGCATGAGCACTCTCTGTGTGGGACTCTGAGGTACAGCAGCCTCACAGATGCTTCTCCTTTCTCGTTGGCAGCTGTCCAAGTCTGCATTAGCAATGGACAAAGTATTAATGATTGATATTTGCTTTCATGAGATTCTTGTTTTCCTTCATGTGATGCATCCATGGATGTGACATTGCAACAGCCTGAAACTTTCCAGTGCCTGGTGCATGATAAAGGGTTTCCACAGCAATTTTGGTGACAAATGTATGTGTGTCTTCTCTTTCACCATCAAGCATCAGGCTATGTGACTGGAGTATTTTTAATTTCTGATGACAGCGATTCTGATTCATGGTTAAACTGGCTATTACTGGCTTGTGCTGTCAACAGTGTTGGTGGGAACCATTTTAACTTTTCATTTTCTGGTTTTTGTCAAAGGACAGAGACACACAGCAGGCCACAGACTCTAGTTTTGAGTAGGTTTGGAAGGCAGCAGTCTAGAGAAGATATTTATCACTTCCTAGAGAGCACTGTGATGGTAGGGAGACTCCTAGATGTTAGAAAAGAGTATTTGACAGTAGAAAGGACGAGAAAGGGGTTTTATAAATAAAATGTATTGTAATTCCTGCTGAGCTTCCCTTTCAGCTTTGGTAGTTTGGATAGCCATCTGCATTCCACAACCTGTTAAATACTGCTCTCAAAGTAAGCCATTCAGTAGTGGGGCAGTCGATAACATCAAGTGATCGTGTATGTTTTTTTATGGCTTTTTAGGCTATGGGCAAGGTACATAATGTTCTGTCGACCAGTGATGCAGAATGGTCTCTACCTGTCAGATTGTTAGAGTGGGACATGTTTCTGTTGCTCTGACCACCATAAATTGAGGTGTAAATTCCATATTCCTTTTTTTCCTAGCAGCTTGCTCTCACAAATGCCTCAAGACTCTACTTGCATGGAGAGTTGGGGAAGGAGGCAAGAAGTACACTTATAAAGGATATAATCAGCCAAAGACTGAAGAAATAGTTCGCTTTCACATACACAGTGCAGTAAAATTGCTGCTCCTGGGAGAACCCCAGTGGTTGTAGCCAGGCCATCAGCTGTTCTCACTGTTGAGAATGATCTTGTGGGGTATTTTTCCTAGAAATTCATACCCTATGCTCCTTTTTAAACTTCTGATCCAGCTGAGGAATTGCATGACTCAGTCTGATTATACAAATCCTAATCTGCTTTTGAGTTACAAGCTGCAGGTCAGATTTTGCTGTCAAACTTCAACAATTAGTTTATTAACATTAGGTAGCAGACTTGTAAAAACGTCTGTTTCTTCCTTTCTTTTTACAAATAACAAAGATAAATCCTTAATGCCTTTGCTGCTAATAATGATTTACTGCAAATTTTGAGATAAGAAATTAATCTGAGGGCATTGCATAA